TGGGGGGGTGGTTATTTAACTCTCTAACAGCCACCAAATTTTGATTATGACAATTGGGTGGACTGGGCCTTTAGAGTCTCTCCATTATGCAGGTTTATGGTATATAACAATCAGGTGGGATAGCGCGCGATGTGCCATAGTCTATCTTTGCGAGTTTCCACTACGTGCAATAAAGCTTGTTGAATATCATGGAAGAAAAAAAAAAACCCAGTAGACTTGCAGCGTGTTTGTATTCTTGGAGGAACGGATCCCAGTAGGCATGCAGCCATGGGCCGTAGATGATCTTTAAGACTGCCTGGAGCGGGAATATCTTTATGTATGTATACGGTATAAAACACTTCTGAAGATCACATATCATGTTTAATGACATTATGGAGAAGAAAGATCACAAAGTTCACTTTGGGACTGGAGAGCAATGTTCATAGTGAATCCAGTTTCATGCGACTTGATTCCACACCGTGCGTTTAGTATTGGAGATTTATAAAAATCACATTCACCCGTTTTTGTTTTTTTGTTACACGTCTTCTTAGCCGGTGAATCACATTCACGTATTTATGTATTTCTACCGACAAATAAAGAAATAGAGATTGTCTTTTGAGAGCCGTGTGAGCCGCGTCTCTTTCTTCATGTTTGAGAAAGTCATTACCTCCAAAACAGATTTTATTTTTAGTATGTGGGAGATGCAATGCTCCATTCACAAAGCTTCACCACAAGGATCTTTACTCTAACCATGTGACCTTCATATTCAAATCTCATTGGACTCAGCAGGAGATAACAGTCACTTTTTTTTCACAACAAGGATCCTTATCCTGCTGTGTATTGACTTTGTAAATTGAGCCTAAAGTATATTCGCACCCCATCGCTATAATCTTAAAAAAAAAAATTAATAATGTAAAAAGTTACTATTTTTAATCTGCAGCTTTCTTGGATATAATCCCGCGTGGTCATGCTTGGAAAGTCCTTGTTCAGACACTTCCTGTTATCGGGGGCCAGCACTCTGTCCCTGTGGTGTCACAACATGGCGATGTTTTGGAACCCGTTTCAGCCCCTTCATCCGGCATCTTTGTTGTGCCCGATGAAGGGACCAAACGGGTTTCCGAAACGTCGCCATGTTGCGACACCACAGAGGTCAATAAAATATTGACTGAACTTGAGCTGGAGTGCGAGTGACTTCTTCATACTTATACTGATTTGTGGTCGCTTGGCACCCACCCGAGACTTGAGGGTGTTATCCGGTCAGGTGTGCGATGGGTTTCTTTTGATTATAGCCCTCTGTCCCGGTCTCCCAATCGTGCTCCGGCGTTGTCACCTTGTCACAGGAGCTTCCCTTGGAGACTACAAGTGGCCATTTCAATACACATTACGCAGACATGAGCCAGTGTTGTCACTAGGGATGCACCGATACCGGTATTTTGGTACCGAGTACAGATATTTTTTCGGTACTCGCTGATACC